AAAGGTCATGGCAGAATTTCTACAGATACTATCGTGACAACACATGATTGACCCTTGTTTCTATCTTCCAATCAATTCTCGCCATGTGCAATCTATAAAAATTCTGTCAATTTTTTTTTAACATGATTGCCGTAATAAAGTGCATGCCATAAAACATTCCAAAAAAACATTCGTTTACAGTTGGCGATTGGCGAGCATAAAATCGTCATTTCCTGTACAGGAAAAAGACTTCGACAAGTGTTTTTGTGTCTCTCGCACCCACGTTTCTCAATGATCCACTCTTCTGTCAATAAATTCTCAATTTAACCCGATTTTGATTAACTAATTGTAAAATGTTGATGGAGAACGTATGGTTAAAAATGACGGAAAAGTTAAAACAATTTAACATGAAAAAAAAAGTACAACGGGAAAATAAGTAGAGAGAAATAGAGACTTTTGAGTTACTACTGGGTGATTGATTCCAGCAATGGATTTTCATGCTAAAACCGTTACTTTTCCTCCTTCATTATTATTGCTTTTATCTCATTCTCTCCTACGATTCTTCTTCATTGAACTCCTCCATACAAATCTCAGTTTTTATATACAGTTTTCTTGCATTATTATCTCCAATCTTGACTCATCTCTCTCTGGTGGTTGAGGTTTGACTTCTGGAAACTCCTCGTGAACCTTTCAGACTAATCCTGGTAAGTGCAAAATTGTGTCGAGTTATTTCATGTGTTTGGATCAGAAAATGTGAATTCTTCTAGATTTGCCATGTAGTTTGCTTCATGTCTGAATTTGGGCTCTATGGATTCATTTCATTGATTACACATACGGAAATATGCCTGATTAATGATTGTCTTGAGATTATTGTTGAACTTCAAGTTCAATTTCACGTGCACTGCACGGTTATGATTTGCAGAAGACACTAATAATTGTCACATCATTGATGTGATGACACCAAATACTTATTTCTGATCTTTCATCTTTCCTTGTCTTTTCTGAATCTATTATTAGATTTTTACCAGATCAATCTCCCTTTTTATACAGTGAAAGTTGCTTTATTTTGTCATGGTAAAAGTGGAAATTGCTTTAGATTACCATAATTGGAATGCACAATAATTTTCATAATTCCAATTAATTGCGCTATCATGGACAATCTGAAAAAATGCCAATGGTACAAATAGCTTGATTTCAGTCAATAGATTAACCTCTGTAGAAAATACAATGATTTCAAGAAGTATGATGTGTTAATTCTATTGTGCGTTTCTTCTTTATTTCATTGTCGAAAAGTTCTGCAATGTGTTAATTCCCAAACACTTAAATTCCTGACTCTGCAGGCTGTAGACTGACTTGGAATCTCTCATTCTTTGGTCAGTGAGATAGAGATGCATTCAGTGTGAAGGTGTATTATACAGAGATATTTTATCGAGTAGAGTACAGCTTTTTTTGACGAATACTTCTTGGTGCATGGGAAGCTCGTTACACCTTGACGTTGATGAGGACAGAATGTCTAGAAAAGTGGTTAAACATAAGAGACTTGATGATGGTAAGTGTTACCTGTGTTAAGATGTAGGGGGAAGCTACTAGGGATTACTAAGATATGGTTAATATTGCATGCAATACTTCAAATGCAAGAATTCCAAAGTCGATCTTTAGTTGTGTTGTCTTTTCAAAAATGTTTATACTTTGCCTATGGTTAAGCTTGAGATCGAACTGCAGAATGAAAGAAGTTTCTTTCCTTTACTGAAGCAGTTATTTGTCTAAATAATGTTACTTGAGCTCAGTGGACCCCAGTTATTTGAATGTATATTCATGACTGTCACCCCTACTTAGTTGTCGAAAATGACTTGTTCTCATGATATTTATGTGTAGTGTAGATGAATCACTAAACATGACACCATGTTGGTTGAAGTAAGAAAAGGGGGATCTCTGTGTTCTGTTTATTATGCTTTTCCTGTTCTTACTAACCAGAAATAAAGTAATGCTCTCTGTTTAACAACTCTTCAGGCCTGGAGGCTCCTCGAAACAGTTTGGAGATACCTTTAAAGACTACCTACATCTTGTCTGCTGGGAGAGAGAGTATTCCGGTAACAACGTAATGCCTTGTTTTGGTTGCTTTAACTGTAGAAGTTTATCACTCTGATGAGTGGGTTTCTTCACCTTCCATCCTAAAGGCTTATGGATCAGAAGTTTTCCCTTGTTTTAAACCACATATCTTATAAAATTGTCTTCAGAGTTGAAAATATATACAAATGCGCTCTTTTGTTTTTCTTATCAGTTTTGTTGGTGAAATTTTCTTGGTCATGGTTCCTGCACGCGTTTTGATAATCAGACTTTTCATCTTGCCTTGTTAGAGGGGATCATTTTCTTTTCTTTGTCTAACCTATTCTAGTTTCAACTCCTATGACTTTAAACCCACACTGTAATTTTGAACATTCTCTCCATGATGATTAACAAATTGCTACATTTATTCAGTATGCTTATCACAAGAAAAAGGAATCCGAGAACTGCTATTCCACTGAGGCTCCAACGAAGAAGTTAATCAGTGAAGAGATTTCTAAAAGGAAAAACGCCAGACAAAATGCACCAAGCATAGTGGCTCGTCTAATGGGCATTGATATGTTACCATTTAATTCAAAACCAGCATCAAAGGTTGTGGACATAAAGAATGAGACTCCAGAAAGCAACTTCTTGAAAAAGCAATGGTCAGGAAAGGCCTCAGTTGGTCGTGTCCCCTTTACCTCAAATTCCTCTCTGGACATAGACTTTTGTTGCTTTGATGATAGTATAAACAGAGATCCTGATCAACTCAGTCGCATGAGGTCGAACAGGCGTAAAACCCTAGAACATCCTCAAGAGGAGGAACTACAGAAGTTCAAGAAAGAATTTGAAGCATGGCAAGCTGCACGGTTGAAGGAATGTTCAAAGATTGTAGAAATAGGCAGTTCTCCAAGCCAGTTGATTGCACAAGAGAACCTCAACAGAGAAAAAATGGTTCTTTATGCAAATTCTAATAGAGCCCTGGATAGTGAGAGACAGATGGAACCAGAGGATCTTGCTGTAATACCAAGTTCGCATGATAAAGGTACTTTAAAAAGTTGCAAAAATGAGAGTGAATATTTTGCAGCTGAGCAGAAGGGGTCTCCATATTCAAGAATAATGTCAAGAACAGATTTTAAGGCATCTCCTCTTGTGAATTCTTGTCAGAAAATTGATATTGTTTCTGCCCCCACCAAAATTGTGAATTTGAGGCCTGGTTTAGGTCTGGACAGGACGTGCAGTGGCAAAGATTCATGGAACAGTACTCCCTGCACATCAGGAGAGAGAGGGAGTATAAACGATTTGCTTGAGGAGGTGAAGGAAAGGCTGAAGTCTGAGCTTCAAGGTAAAAGCCCTAAAAGGAACACAACAGTTAGGGGAGGAGGCATTGAGACTCCTTATCGGGAAAAACCATCAGAACCAAAACAAATAACTCAACGTATAGCACAACAGGTCAGAGAAAGTGTCACGACGGACATTGGAATGAATTTACTTCGTTCAGAATCTACAAGATCTTATAGAAGTGAAATTCAGTTAAATGGAACTGGTTCTCCTGAGTTCATAAACCGGGATACAAGGAGATTCTTGGCAGAGAGGTTGAGAAATGTTCCAATGGTTTCCCATAATAGGTCAAGATCATCAACATCAGATTATGAAAAGCGCAGAGCTGAACATTCAAGAGATATCTGGAGTGGAAATAGAATGAACTATCACTCTGGTGTTAAGAATGAGCCTGAAAAGCAAAGTAGGTCTTTTAGACAGGAGCCCGATGATTTAATGCTCCATAAGGAACTGTCTCCTGGGAACCTCGTTAGATCTTTGTCAGCCCCAGTATCACGAACATCATTTGGAAAGCTCCTTCTGAAGGATCGACATATACCAACTGGGGCTCAAATCAGGAGGAAGCATGAAGTCGTTGAAAACGTTTCAATGAACATGAGGAAACGGAAGAAGGAAAAGTTCAACATTAAAGAAAAGTTTTCAGGCTTTAGATATAGCTTAACACTTGGGGGGAAGCTGTTTCGTAGGAGAGTTCAGTCAATAGAGGAATCGCGTCAAGCTAAACATGACTGCATGAGAGATATTAGAAGTCAACCAATAGTAATGATGAGATCGTATGAAAGATATGTGAGGATCTTATTGTGACTCTTTTCTTAATGTTCTCTCTTCCTAAAAGAATAAGATTATCAGAAGCCACGAGTTACGGATAGCTCTTAACATATGGTTTTCTTTATATCTATGCTCTAGGAAAATTCCACTGAAGTGCCACCAAGCCCTGCATCTGTGTGCAGCAGTGTTCATGACGAATTCTGGACGCCTGCAGATTATTTTAGCCCAACATGGGCATCAGATGCACACCTACTAGATGACAGTGAGGTTCCTCATGTTTTTAGAGAAATAAACTCGAACTTGAATGGTAAGTAACAAGGATTAATGATTTCATCACTTTGCGTCTGGATATATCTTAGTAAATTGTTTATAATTTTGAGTCAGAGTTAACATTAATATCAAACACACATTTGTAACTATTACACATTATTATCTATCAGATTTCGTGGGACCCACTATTTATTCCTTTTTATAAATCACTATAAATTTGCCATGCCGAGGCTTAGTGAACATAAGAAATAATGTATTTGTTGTTGTATCATTCCACTCCTTGGAAGGAAAATGTGTAATGTCAAAACTGCTGACAAATCTGGTTAATTTAAGATGTCTATAAAGAAATCAAATGGTAGACGTTGTGAAGATGTGTGGTGTGCTATCGTAGCTCCTTTTGAAGCACTTCCAGTGTGTCACAGAGAGGCTGAGTGAGGAAATATTTACTTTTCCTGAAAGTGAAACTATCTACCATGGTAAAAATTTAATGCAAGAGAGATATAACTAGAAAATATAATCCTTCGTATAATTCTATAAAACAGCTGGACATTGGGAACCTTCAATGATACCAATCTTTAGAGAGTTTTGGTATTTCGAGTGAGACAATTTTCTTCTCTCTTGGGAAACTTGGGTTATAAAAAATGTTCTGAAAAACTCAAGACATAACATCATATCTTCATCTTTCTACTATTGGAGGTGATATAGTTGTCAGTGCATTGAAACAGGCTTTATTTCTGGTGTGGCCATTTGAAACTGTAATTCACTTAATTGATTGCTCACTTAGGATTACTGGAAAAGTTTCCACTACAGCTTTGGATTCTAATACAGTGCGCATAAAGTCTTACTTTACATTTCTGCAACAGAATTGTTCAAATAATTTCCATTGCTGAACTGTCTTTTTTTCTTCATACTATGTGTGTCACAATGAGCATTTTTAATATAGCATGGAGATGTTATCTGATGACTGATCCTCTATACTTGAGACTGTATAGTAGTTCCTTCTTTTTATTAAAAACTTCTGTAATGTTTCGCTTAGACCTTGAGTTGTATTATTCATATTATATTTCTTTTGTTAATAATGCAGAGCTGAGCAGGCAACTAAATCAACTTGAAGGCAATGTTCCAGAGGAGACCGTAACTTACGAGCAGCCGATTGAAGTTGAAACGGAGATAGATAACCATGCTGAAGCCTATATGAGGGATTTACTTGTTGCTGCTGGCTTGTATGATGGTTCATTCAAGAGATCTTTATCAAGATGGGACCCGCTCGGTAAGCCTATTAGCAACCAGGTCTTTGAAGAAGTAGAAGAATCTTATGGACAAAAGAGCAAGGATATTGAAGAGGGCATAGAAGATGATAATGAAAAATTAAATCACAAGATGTTACTTGACTTATTAAATGAAGCGCTTCAACCTGTACTAAGACCCCCAATGAAGATGTACAGGTATATGAATAAGGCTATTAGTCCTATGCGACAAACCCCACATGGAAGGAATTTATTAAATCGCGTATGGGAAGTTATTCGAGTTTATTTATATCCTCCAGTAGATAAATCTTTATATACTCTTGATAGCATGTTGGCCCAGGATTTGACATCCAACTCATGGACTGGTTTGATGGAGGATGATGTTAGTGCATTGGGTGACGATATAGAATGTCAGATCATAGGAGATTTGATTGAAGAAATGGTGAAGGATATGACTCATAACTTGTAGGATCTTTTTCGTGGATGCTGTGAGAACATTTCATGCTCAAATTGTGGGGTTGTTTGAGAAACGTTGAAGAAGCTTTCAGAGCTTGAATGGGATTGACAGCACAACGTAGTTCTTATGGTATCAGGATAGACAAGGTATTGATGTATTTAGCATAGAAGAGATTTACAAATGAAGGCTGTGTGTGGATGTCGTGTCTTCCTGAATTGCTTGCAGAGTTACTCTGTACGTTAATGTATTTATGGTTATTCATCTTATAGCTTCATTCGTTGTCGATAAGAGATGAGTAGATTTTATTGTTAACGAAAGGCATGAAACATAATGAAGTATCGGTCTCATTATTCTTTATGCTCTGCAAAACAAGAAATGAATTCCTGAGCATCGATGGTGTAGCTCATGTTAAGTATCAACGACATGACACATCAATTAATTGGTGAATTAGTTCATGTTAAGTTCCAGGAATCAAATGATCCACCAATTAATTTACGTGTCATGTTATTGGTGCTTAGCTCTATTTGATCCCAATTTTCTAAAACTCATTTTTTCTCAAACATGTTTTCAACTACACATCTCATGGAATCCAAATTTTTTATTAACTTTTTAATTTTACATTGTATCAACTTTTATTAAAACTATTAAAAATCTAAATTTTTTTGCTAAACCAAACGGGGGGCTAAGAGCAGTGCTTATGAGATATTTCTCGTGCAAACATTCTCCTTGACACTGAAATTGGTCCTCATCAAATTCGAATATTGACATTGTTATTTTCGCCTTCATATTCAGTTAGAATGTGTTTGATCGACAATTTTTTTTTATGGAAAATATTTTTCAACTTTTAGTCACATGACTATATTTTCGACCATATTTTCCTTACCTCAAAAGTAAGGAAATATTTTTTTTAGAGAGAGATAGATTTTTATTTTTCAGGTAATTCATTCTCTCTCTCTCTCTTATCTACCCCTCTCATCTACCATCAATAAAAAAATGAACAAATATACTATTTTATAGATAGAAAACCAAATCAATGAAACACATTTAATTAATAATTTTCGTACAAATAAGTTCTAGACAATTCAATTATTTAGAACTTATTTTATTTCTACATAAATTCTATACTCGCAATCAAATGCACCATTATTTCACCAACCAAAAAATAAAGTTAAGTGAACACTTTCTTAGTTTTCTTCAACAGAAAAATCTCAGGAAAATCTGCAACCAACTAAGAATTCAACTTTGTTCTGTAATGATTTGAAGATTTTTTTTTTCAGCACATTGAATTAGATGTCATTCATAATAAACCTAAACTCCAATTTGTAGTTCTTATTTAATTTCTTTTTTATCTTCTTAAATTCCCACTTACAAGTTTGAGCATGGATTATGAAATATATTCTTCCTAATATACACATCCAGGTGGTCATTGTTCATTGGTTTCGAATTCGATTATGCAGTTAATTTTACAATGTTCTTAGTAAAAACTGCTCTCTCTATTGGAGCAGCACCAACCTGAAGAATTAATGTCAAAATCACGGGCATGAGTTTTTGTACCGTTTGGACCTTGACCTAACAGTTGGAAAATAATAGTTTTTTTTTTCTTTGTTGTTAACTATTTGATTTATTTATTTATCTAGACATAAGGCATAGCAGTCTTATTAAATAAGATTTTAGTTGTAAATTAAAAACAAGGGTAAAATCGTCATTTGAGGACAAAAATGCTGCCATATGAAAAATTAAGGAATGAATGCGAAGTTTTGAAAGTTGAGGACCATAGTGTAGAAAAATCAAAGGTTGGGGAGGACCTCATCACCATTTTAACCTTTCTTTGCATTAGTCATCATTTCCCCTCCATCTCAAATTTATGCAATGGTTATTACTTATTAGTCAATAATTAATAGAGATTTAGAGTTAGAAATAAAAATAGGGATGGAGTTATAAGTTGCAATTATGAGTTAAATGTTTCAATAATCATCCAATTCATACCATTGTCATGACTTATTCATTAAACTTCAAAGTGCAAATTGGACTTTGTCCATTTGTACTCCATTCATCACCCTTAAAACACGTTACCTAATTCCACGACGTGACTAATAGAAATTCCGTGCGAACATTACAATCGTTAAAAAAAATTACAACTCAACCAAACCAATTTTTCATTCATCATCCAACTTATACTTGGTCACGTTATAATGTATCAAACTTCAAAATGTTTTTCAATGGTCACTCATCTTTGAAACGTTTCACTCCATCCATCATCCGTCAGATTCTGTTTCCTTCATTGCTAACTTATCGCACGAAAATCTCATGTGGTAGGTTGAGATTGTTAAAAAAAATTATAACTTAGTTAAACCATCAACTCAACAAAATCATTATATGTGAAACATGATTTTTACGGTCTCATAAAAATCTTTTAAGCTCCAATAATTCGTCCCCAATTTCAGCCCTAAAAATATTAGCCTCAAATTCACTCATCTCATCCATGTACAACTAAGTTGTTGAGATAGAGCCGATTTTTGAGAAAGATAAGAGAAGCTTCTACTACTTATAAAGCCCTATTCACCAATTGTACCACCTGCTCGGTGTTTCTCTAATCCCAATCTTCAATTTTTTGCAGGCTTATGTCCAACTATTTGAGGAATGATATGCCATCTAACCAAGAATTAGGTGCTAAAATTTTTTAGGGTTGAAATTGGAGATGTTTTATTGGGGTTTAAAGAAGTTTATGAGATCATGGAAGTTGTTTCACATATGATGGTTTTGGTGAGTTGATGGTTTGGCTTGGTTTTAATTTTTTTAATGATCGTAACTTGCTACGTGAGATTTTCGTGCGATACATTAGCAACAAAGGGAACAAGATCCGACGAATGATGGATGTAGTGAAATTGAGAAACATTTTAAAGTTTGATGAATAAATTGTAATCAAGCATAAGTTTGACGAGTAATGAAACAATAGTTTAGCTTAATTGTAATTTTTTAACGGTCTTAACTTGACACGCGAAATCTTTGTTAGCCACGTCAATGAATAATGTAACGAATTTTTTAGGATAATGGATGAAATGCAAACGGAAAAATTTCAATAAAAACTGTGAAACAATTTAAAGTTCAATGAATAAATAGCTATCATGGTATAAATTTGATGACTATTAAAACATTTAACTCTATAATTAGAGATTGACCACACTTTCTACAGGCAATTTTTATTTTTTAATATATAAAAATGGAAAACAAAAGCATTTGTGTTTAATTTTTCCTTATTTAAAACTTCTATAAATTTAGGATCATGTTGCAAGGGTTGCAAATTTATATATATAGACGGTGTAATTAATTTTGTAACCAATAATTATCTTTCATAGTGTGCCATATCACCCAAGTACTTAGCATAAGCTAAACACAATGCTTAGGCGATCAGTCATTGAGAATAGGCTTGCCAGCAGGTACCAGCCAGGCTATGATGTTTACAACATTTCTAAAATGAAAATGTAAACCTACGGTCGTTCTTCAGGGACTGAGAGTGTTATGTATGATAATAAATACTGTTGCCCGGAAGAACACCAAACTAACTAAAATGTCGCTATTTATGAAATAAGGATTAATGAATTTCATCTTCAAACAAAGGAATAGATAAAATAAGAAAAACATATAATCTAATCAATCTGTAAGTTGCTTATATGTTTATAAGTTATTTTACATTGCCTGGCAAAGAGGCTTCAGCTTTTCATGGCAAAGAGGCTTCAGCTTTTCACCTACTTCGTAGTCCCATCTGTCTTCATATAAGGGTAAGTTGGAGCTTCTCCCTGTTAGGTTGAGGCGTTGTGACATTAATGTGAATTCTCACTGTCTGTAAAACACTATAAGAAACACCGCCATCGGTTTTCTTAAGCTTCTGCTGTTGCTCGTCAACAAACCATTCTCCCGTCTTTTCACCTCCCGGCGTCAAATACACGGGTCCTTCAATACCAAATCTGCATACAGAAATTTAACTTTATGTTGTTATCACAACCACATTAACCACTATAAGAATGTGGAGAAGAGAATGTGGCTTCTCCTGGAGGCAAAAAATTTGGCTATACATCTCCAACTAAATGAATCTATGGCATTATAATCAGGCAATCATGTCTAGTAATGGGCCCAAAATTAAGATAATAAGGATTAGGAAAAGTGAATGAAGTCCCAAAAAAAATGCATATAACTTCACAGCCGCAAATGAGAATAATCATTACTTGGGAACAAAAACGATGAAACCATTTGATCTTAATTTCACTATTCTGGCCTCTGCATCTGTGGGCCTGCAAGAATGTGGAAAGCATTTACACAAGAGTTAAGACAGCAAGAGACGGGAAGTGTTGAGGAAATAGAGGAAAAAGTTCAGCGGTTAATACATTTTTCTGAAATAAATGAGCGTATGTAGTTCAACTGACGCTCGACTAGCCATTTGTGCATTTCTATGACGATAATTCAGATCTGTTCAAGAAAAAAAAAACACGAGACATGAAGAGCAGCAGAAACTATGCACTCGTGATGTTAGACTTGAAAGGAAGACATTACATGATCAAAACATTAAAAGCATTTCCACACAATCACATTAGGCAAGATTGTTCTCACACAAAGAATACAACAAAAATCCTCATGACGAAAATTTTAGCAGTAAAAGGACCCAAAAAATAATCAAGAGAAAATATTAAGCTGTGAAACCACTAAATTCTTAGAGCGCATTCTCCATTTAAGACGATAAAAATACATCTGAAAAGAGCAGACTAAAGTAAAACTACGATGTTGCCAAGGACATGATTTAGTGAAACAGACCAAAATGTGGAATCAAAAGAGACCTGAATAAACAGCAAAATGAGTAACATTACTGAATCCGTTTCAACTTAAATGCATGCCCTAAATGGCTCCATGAACCGTATATAACTGAAAATTTTACGTCCACTCAATGAACCGGAATACATAAATGATTGAGTAAAACGAGTCTTCAAATGTACACATAATCCTTACTGTCGGCAGTACTGGTAAGCAGAGGTCTGTTTTGGAATATATCTGGGAGCTTGGTTGTCCCCAATGATGCAGCAAGCAAGCGGTGTACAATGACATCTACAAGAAAACGAGCTCCAAGTCAAAAAGTTAATATCAGAGCATAGTTTGATAGAAAAAGGACTAAATGTTTAACTGACCGGCATATCTCCTTATGGGAGAAGTGAAGTGTGTATACAGAGGTGCAGCAAGACCATAATGAGAAAACTCTGCAGGGCTGAGATCTCCGCTACAAAAGTACACTGCCTGAAATTTTGAGTCATAAATAAATGAATGCGTTAGAAAATACTTGCAAATCTAAATCATGAAAAAGGAAAAAAGGACAACTGAATCGATTTAATGTAAGTACCTGCGTCATGCATCTCGTCGCCAGAATGCGAATCAGCTTATTAAAGTATGGATCATCACCCTGATAATTTTTGGGGGGAAAGAGGAGGGACAGGGCCGAGAAAAGGAAAATCAAGTGAACAAAGATACTACAAATAGATAGACATTAAACATGCACAAGTAAATTTAGCAGACAGAGACAGTAGCAATTACTGAAAGTCAATCGGACAAATATTGTCAAAAGAATATTTACTTCAACAAGCTCCAATGAAATGATCCCACATGCTATATCCCGGTAAGAGCAAACTTCACAATAACGACAATAACAAACTACACCTCATTCCCCCAAAAATTGGAGTCTGCTTTGGTTCCTTTTTCGCCACTGCAATCACTAAATTTACGAAAAAAATTCAATAAAATCAAAGAATTTGTCTACGTCTTGCTCTTCAAATTTTGTGGTTATCACATTGTCCTTGGTAATAGCAGATTTAGATCCACTCAACTCAAACCATCTCAGTCATCCTTCCGTTGAACCAAAGTGCTCCAAAGTTCTAACTGATGAATTATGCCCCTCCAAATCTCAACTGTGTAATCAGCGAATTGTAAGATCATCTATGACTAAAGCAAAAAGATAAGGACCCAAGACACAGCCTCAAAACTTCTTTAATAATAAAAATTCTCTACTACTACGGCTACTAGACCATATATTCATGATTGCTCCATCATACACATCCTTGGTAATATTAGTTTATCTATCTAGCAGCCATCAAAGCACTTCCATAGCCAACCTTATTATAAGCTTTTTTCTAAAACAAAAAACATTATATGCTTGTTTCTGCGCTTCACATTTTTCTATCAAATCTCCAAATAGGGGAATGAATTTCAGATTCCAAAGAGTAAAACTGAAAGGGTATCCATTACCTTTAAAGTACACTTTAGTCCATAGTCAATCACAGAACAGGTCTCAAATCATACATTAATCTACAGTCAACCATCATAACCCACAATCTCAAAGTATGGAACATAAGTATAATGCCTCTGTAATTTATATTACAATCTTTTATTCTTGTAAATAGGCAATATAACACTTTTTGCCAATCATCTGATATCCTTTCTCAAGATCTACTTGAATAATTTTACCAACCATAAGATACACAACTAGCCCAAACACTTGCATACTTTGATTGGAATTTCATCACGCCCAATTGATCTTCTCCTCTTCATCCTCTTTGTAGCTTTCCTCACTTCTAGGACCCATATTCTAGATTAGTAAACATTTCGATCTACAATCATGTTTTGACAATTTTCAAAAGATCCATACGGTGCCTTCCATTTAATAATCAATAAAAATAAAATTTTCAATCCTGTGCGATCTCATTCCTACGAAACAGAACTCATCAGTTTCCATCTGTAATACATCTTGCTCCTCCATTTGGTGATATAACTTGTAATACTTTCTAGTCCTTAGCAATGTTCAAAAAAGCTTTAATAGGATATCGAGGTGTTTTACCTTTATAAGGCGAGAACCAAGCCTCAAGGCATTTTGAGGGTATAAGCCTCAAAACAAATCGACATGAAAATACAGAAGAAGTATGCTCATAATAAACTATAAACCATCTTAATAAAACAGCAAATTAACAAAACTAAAAGTCTAACTAGCATACAAACATAAAATATAGTTATAATAAGCTCATTAATTAGTAATCACATAACTAAACTGTAATCTACTACTAGAAGTAGAAACAACCCAAAAGTCTCCTATAATGTCACTACAACTAAAAAGGAAATTGTCAATATCCTTGATTCAGCTATCATCCTTTCCATCACTAACCAGTTCTTCTCATTCTTCATCGCTATCCTCCACTTCCAATGGTGCCTTTTCCCTTTACTTTTCCATTCCATTCCATTTCACTTCCACACAAGCACACAGAAAGAAGATTAAAGAAGAAAAAAATTCACCTCATGTGAGGTGTTAAAATACAACTTCCCATATGCTTTTGCCTAAGACCCTCGAATCACTCTCTTGGCTCTCGTTTAGGTAATTTATATTTCTCTGAGACTCATTTCTATTGTAATAAGTTCCTATAGAGACATTAGCCAAAAATGCCATATGAACCTTCTGGTCCCACCACTATGTTTCTTACTAGATGGGCCTTTTTTTATTTATTATCTTTAGCTTCACATATAAAATCTCATTCCAGTCACGTTAATATTTCTGTCTACATCCCATTCCCCCCTTTTCAATCTCTATGAATGAAAATCAATTGTTTTTCACCATCACCTATTTTAATACCCACTCCCGGCACCACTAACCTATGTTGTATATTACACTGAAGGATGAAATTTGTCCCACTAATTTTTTTTTCCCATTTTTAGAACTTACCAAGAGTCTCCTTTTTAAGTATGTATTAGCCAACGTCAAATCATTCTAATTCCTACCGAAACCTATAATAATACTACCTTCATTCTGACCCCCAAAGACAAATTTTAACATAATGAAATCTTTCTTAACATTAGTTACCTTTACCTAAATAACCGTTTAAACCTTTTCCAAAAAGGAATTTCTTGCATTAACCACCCATGTCTTACCCAAATTGTTGCATTGCTGTCTTATTGAATTTGTGAAGTGTAGATACATATAATACCAGCAACTATTTTCCTAGCCTATATCAAGTTTTTATTGTGTGTTACCTAATTCATTTTGCCTTCTCTTCATCCATTTAACCACTTACTTTTCGACACATCAGTATGCCATAGCTCCTAAATGTTTTCAAAATTTAAGAAGCACATAGATTTCTCTTTGTAGAATACAACATGTTCATTTCTGACAAACTAACACCATCTTGCCATGTGGGCCCGTAATTTCTGTAGAATGGTCATTAAGGTGAGGCAACTAAGCTTGACGTGCAGTGAATAGCACTCATCAGATCATAATGAGATATAATCCACATCAGAAAATCCAAGTATTCTCAAATGAAACTCATCTTAATTCTGATGCTTCATAATGTTCTACCTGGAATTCTAACTAATATCAACTTCAGTCTCCACTATCCACACATTAAAACTTATAAACAATGAACTGCTCCTCATCATACCAGATCTCCCATTTTTGACCAATGGAGTACCTAATTATTTTCCAATAATTTTTTAATTTCCATATAAGTTTTCTAACTCATCAAGAGAAGCTGGTTCAAGTGGCTTTATCCTTCAAAAATGATTTACCCAATTGCACAGACAAGCAGAAATAAAGTTACTAGATGATGCATAAAGTTCTTGACCGAGTCAACATGCATCATGACAGAAAAACTCACCACAGCATGATCTAGTGAATCAGCCAATGCTTTTGAAGATGACACATCCAAAAAGAAACCAACAGAAGCAGCTGTACGCTGTAAAGGTTCAAGCATCTCTTTGGTTGGGCTAGGATGTCGTCTGTATGAAAGAGATTGGTATAAGATGTATAATGTAGGCATAGTTCAACTGGCAAAACCATTTTTTTTTTTTGGCGACTAACTCCAGAGAAGCAAGACTCTGGCACTCAAAATTATATAATTCTACATATGTAGGATGATCTAATTTGTTAAGCATTTTAGAAATAGTTGCTACTCATCATTCAAATTGCTGAATTCCTTCGAAGTTTCAGTTGGTATTTAGTAATCATAACTCATAAGCATATGCCTTTGAAATTGAAAACATAGATGTAAGTGTCAGCTAGAGAGTGAGAGCAGCTTCGATGGGTGGGTAGAAGTCAAAAAATAAATGGAAGAACGGAACTCCTGACTGCATAATATAACATAAGACTCACCTTAGAATTATAAGAAAAATTGATGATTCTATCAAATAAAAAATCAATATCTTTGGTCAAAGAGAAAGCAGAATACCTTAGTAACGAACACAGGGGAAAATGTTTGAGAATTTTTTCAGCAACTGAAACATTAGCAGCAAGCATAAACTCCTCAACCATCTGATTTGCTTCTCGAATTTGATACATTCCTGCAGACACAACATAATGTATCATGTCCAAAAGGTCATAATGAAATCACTAGTGGTTCAAATGAAACACTTATCTGCGAACTTGAGTCCTAAAAATCCATAATCATAAACTAGAACATTTCAGACGAGAGTGAACATGATTCAAAAGGGAAATTCAGTATATTTCATCCATTATACACTAAAGTAGATTGCCATTTATACAAATACAAAGTAGGAAAATAAGTATTAGAGAAATTAGACAATGGATTGAAGAAAATCAGAAACAGATTGAGACAAATCTGGGAAAGATTTCCTACATAATAAGATACTAGAATGTGCCATCTATCTAAGAATTTAAAATGCAAATCTTCTTAGATTTTTCCAGAGTCCCCCTCAAGCTAGTTCATATATGTCTATCATTACCAGCTTGCTTGTTAGATTTCCAAAAGATTTTCTAGGAAGTCCCTTCTTGAGAAATGCCAGCCAATTGTCTATATGTAGGAACAAGATTTTTCCATAGTCCCGATCAAGCTAGTTCATATATGTCTATCATTACCAGCTTGCTTGTTAGATTTCCAAAAGATTTTCTAGAAAGTCCCTTTTTGAGAAATGCCAGCTAATTGTCCATATGTAGGAACAAATGTCATACATATAATTCACATTTCTAACTTCTACTTAAAAAAGAGCAATCCACTTCAACGTGTTTCGTATGATAATAATGTAGTGGATTATGAGCAATGCAGTTTTGTTGTCACAATCTTCTCCAAATAATCTGCCATCTATCTAAGAATTTAAAATGCAAATTTTCTAGATTTTTCCACAGAGAGCAGTGACGACTGCAAGCCAAATTAACCCAGGCCCAAAAACAAAAAAGAGAAATTGCAACACGGTTGTAAATTTTTTATCGTCAATAATACTACTGGTCAAAATAACGAAACCTTTCAACATTACTGCATACAGCATCAAATAAACAAGCCATAGCATTTATGACACTGATTAATTGGTCCATCAATTTATATGTTGTTTGTCAAACTGATAAGAATGTTTAATTAGGATTCAAAAATGATACTGATCTTTCTTAAAAAGTTACACATCATTAAAAAAAAAAAAAAAAAAATTCTCACCGAAAAATTCTCTCAAAGAAAGTGAAAAAGATCAACTTACCAATATCAAGAGGATCATGAGTAATAGTTTGATAGAAAAAGGACTAAAGGTTTAACTGACCGGCATATCTTCTTATGGGAGAAGTGAAGTGTGTATACAGAGGTGCAGCAAGACCATAATGAGAAAACTCTGCAGGGCTGAGATCTCCACTACAAAAGTACACTGCCTGAAATTGAGTCATAAATAAATAAATACGTTACGAATTACTTGCAAAGCTAAATCATGAAAAAGGAAAAAAGGATAACTGAATCGATTTAACGGAAGCACCTGCGTCATGCATCTCGTCGCCAGAATGCGAATCAGCTTATTAAAGTATGGATCATCACCCTGATAATTTTGGGGGGGAAAGAGGAGGGACAGGGCCGAGAAAAAGCAAATCAAGTGAACAAAGATACTACAAATAGATAAGACATTAAACATGCACACGCAAATTTAGCAGGCAGTAGCAATTACCGAAAGTAAATCGGACAAATATTGTCAAAAGAATATTTACTTCAACAAGCTCCAATGAAATGATCCCACATACTATATCCCAGTAAGAGCCAACTTCACAATAATGACAATAACAAACTACACCTCATCCCCCCAAAAATTGGAGTCTGCTTTGGTTCCTTTTTCGCCACTGCAATCACTAAATTTGCCAAAAAAATGCAATAAAATCAAAGAATTTGTCCACGTCTTGCTCTTCCAATTTTTTTTTTTTTGGTGGTTATCACATTGTCCTTGGTAACAGCAGATTTAGATCCACTCAACTCAACCATCTGAGTCATCCTTCCGTTGACCCAAAAATATCCAAAGTGCTCCAAAGTTCTAACTGATAAATTATGCCCCTCCAAATCTCAACTGTGTAATCAGCGAATTGTAAGCTCATCTATGACTAAAGCCAAAAAAAAAAAAAAAGACCCAAGACAGAACCTCAAAACTTCTTCAATAATATAAAAATTATCTACTACTACGGCTAGTAGACCATATATTCATGATTGCTCCAACATACACATCCTTGGTAATATTAGTACATCTATCTAGCAGCCATCAAAGCACTTCCATAGGCACCTTATTATAAGCTTTTTTCTAAAACAAAAAACATTATATGCTTGTTTCTGCGCTTCACATTTTTCTATCAAATCTCCAAATAGGGGAATGAATTTCAGATTCCAAAGAGTAAAACTAAGGGTATCCATTACCTTTAAAGTACACTTTAGTCCATAGTCAATCACAGCACAGATCTCAAATCATACATTAATCTACAGTCAACCATCATATCCTACAATCTCAAAGTATGGAACATAAGTATAATACCTCTGCAATTTATATAATTACAATCTTTTATTCTTGTAAATAGGCAATACAACACTTCTTGCCAATCATCTGATATCCTTTCTTAAGATCTACTAGAATAATTTTACCAACCATAAGATACACAACTAGCCCAAACACTTGCATACTTTGATTGGAATTTCATCACGCCCAATTGTTCTTCTCCTCTTCATCCTCTTTGTAGCTTTCCTCACTTCTAGGACCCATATTCTAGATTAGTTAACATTTCGATCTACAATCATGTTTTGACAATTTTCAAAAGATCCATACAGTGCCTTCCATTTAATAATTCATAAAAATAAAATTTTCAATCTTGTGCGATCTCATTCCTACGTCAGTTTCCATCTGTAATACATCTTGCTTCTCCATTTGGTGATATAACTTGTAAACTACTTTCTAGTCCTTAGCAATGTTCAAAAAGGCTTAATAGGATATCGGGGTGTTTTACCTTTATAAGGCGAGATGCAAGCCTCAAGGCATTTTGAGGGCATAAGCCTCAAAACAAATCGACATGAAAATACAGAAGAAGTATGCTCATAATAAACTATAAACCATCTTAATAGAACAACAAATTAACAAAAAGCATACAAACATAAAATATACTTATAATAAGCTCATTAATTAGTAATCACATAACTAAACTGTAATCTACTACTAGAAGTAGAAACAACCCAAAAGTCTCCTATATTGTCACTACAACTAGAAAGGAAATTGTCAATATCCTTGATTCAGCTATCATTTTCATCACTATCCAGTTCTTCTCATTCTTCATCGCTATCCTCCAATTCCAATGGTGCCTTTTCCCTTTACTTTTCCATTCCATTTCACTTCCACACAAACACAGAGAAAGAAGATTAAAGAAGAAAAAAATTCACCTCATGTGAGGCGTTAAAATACAACTTCCCATATGCTTTTGCCTAAGACCCTTGAATCACTCTCTCGACTTCTAGTTTAGGTAATTTATATTTCTCAAAGCCTCATTTTTATTGTAATAAGTTCCTATAGAGAAACATTAGCCAAAAATGCCATATGAACCTTCTGGTTCCACCACTATGTTTCTTACTAGATGGGCCTTTTTTTATTTATTATCTTTAGCCTCTCTTAATACCTCCTTTCATAGGTTTCACATATAGAATCTCATTCCAGTCATGTCAATATTTCTGTCTACATCCCATACCCCCCTTTTCAATCTCTATGAATGAAAATCAATTGTTTTTCACCATCACCTATTTTAATACCCACACCCAGCACCACTAACCTATGCTGTATATTATGCTGTCATCATGAAGTCACAATCCTTGCATAATGACTTATCTAACACTGAAGGATGAAATCTGAGTCTCCTTTTGAAGTTTGTATTAGCCAACGTCGAATCATTTATCATTCTAATTCCTACCAAAGCCTAAAATAATACTACCTTCATTCTGACCCCCAAAGACAAATTTTAACATTATGAAATCTTTCTTAACGTTAGTTACCTTTACCTAAATAACCGTTTAAACCTTTTCCAAAAAGGGATTTCTTGAATTAACCACCCGTGGCTTACCCAAATTGCTGCATTGCTGTCTTATTGAATTTGTGAAGTGTAGATACATATAATACCAACAACTATTTTCCTAGCCTATATCAAGTTTTTATTGTGTTACCTAATTCATTTTGCCTTCTCTTTATCCGTTTGACCACTTACTTTTCGACACATCAGATACATATAATACCAACAACTATTTTCCTAGCCTATATCAAGTTTTTATTGTGTTACCTAATTCATTTTGCCTTCTCTTTATCCGTTTGACCACTTACTTTTCGACACATCAGTATGCCATAGCTCCCAAATGTTTTCAAAATTTAAGCAGCAGACAGATTTCTCTTTGTAGAATACAACGCGTTCATTTCTGACAAACTAACACCATCTTGCTATGTGGGCCCATAATTTCTGTAGAATGGTCATTAAGGTGAGGCAACTAAGCTTGAGATGCAGTGAATAGCACTCATCAGATCATAATGAGATATAATCCACATCAGAAAATCCAAGTATCCTCAAATGGAACTCATCTTAATTCTGATGCTTCATAATATTCTACCTGGAATTCAAACTAATATCAATTTCAGAGTCTCCACTTTCTACACATTAAAACTTATAAACAATGAACTGCTCCTCATCATACCAGATCTCCCTTTTTGACCAATGGAGTACCTGATTATTTTCCAATAATTTTTTAATTTCCATATAAGTTTTCTAAAGAGAAGCTGGTTCAAGTGGCTTTATCCTTCAAAAATGATTTACCCAATTGCACAGACAAGCAGAAATAATATTACGACTACGAGAAGATGCATAAAGTTCTTGACCGAGTCAACATGCATCGTGACAGAAAAACTCACCACAGCACTATCTAGTGAATCAGCCAACGCTTTTGAAGATGACACATCCAAAAAGAAACCAACAGCAGCAGCAGTACGCTGTAAAGGTTCAAGCATCTCTTTGGTTGGGCTAGGATGTCGTCTGTATAAAAGAGATTGGTATAAGATGTATAATGTAGGCATAGTTCAACTGGCAAAACATTTTTTTTCTTTGCAACTAACTCCAGAGAAGCAAGACTATGGCACTCAACATTATATAATTCTACATATCTAGCCTAGGATGATCTACTTCGTTAACATTTTCGAAATAGTTGCTACTCATCATTCAAATTGCTGAATTCCTTCGAGTTTCAGTTGGAATCGGATATTTAGTAATCATAACTCGTAAGCATATGCCTTTGACATTGAAAACATAGATGTAAGCGTCAGCTAGAGAGTGAGAGCAGCTTCGATGGGTGGGTAGATGTCAAAAAATAAATGGAAGAATGGAACTCCTGATTACATAGTATAACATGAGACTCACCTTAGAATTATAAGAAAAATTGATGATTCTATCAAATAAAAAATCAATCTCTCTGGTCAAAGAGAGAGCAGAATACCTTAGTAACGAACACAGGGGAAAATGTTTCAGAATTTTTTCAGCAACTGAAACATTAGCAGCAAGCATAAATTCCTCAACCATCTGATTTGCTTCTCGAATTTGATACATTCCTGCAGACACAACATATTGTATCATGTCCAAAAGGTCATAATGAAATCACTAGTGGTTCAAATGAAACATTTATCTGCGAACTTGAGTCCTAAAAATCCATAATCATAAACTAGAACATTTCAGACGAGAGCGAACACGATTCAAAAGGGAAATTAAGTATATTTCATTCATTAGACACTAAGGGTCCATTTGATTGCAAATGTGGAATTTGGGCGAAAAGAAAACAAATTACAGGAAATTGAATTGCCTAAAATTTGTTTTACTGAGAATTGTAATTAATTGTGTTTGATTAGTATAATTTTTCACCTGGTCCGTTTGGCTTTGTTTTTCATGAAAATTATCAATTAAATGGATAATTTCTTTTATAATTGGGGGAAAAAAAAAAAAAAAAAAAAAAAATATATTAAAAAAAAAGGAAAAAAAAAAAAAAAAAAAAAAAAAAAAAAAAAAAAAAAAAAGCAAGAAAAAAAAAAGATGGAAAACTGTTTACCACCAAAACCAAAGGAATTGGAATTCCTTATAATCAAGGAAAAGCCGGTCACGTGGGCAAAACCAAGAAAAGTAATTCCAGGTAAAAAAAAGCTTATCAAACAGGAAAAAAAGCTGGAATTGAAAAAAGTTTTCATTTTCCATGGAAAAAGCAACGTATCAAACAGGCACTAAAGTAGATTGCCATTTATACAAATACAAAGTAGGAAAATAAGTATAAGAGAAATTAGACAATGGCTGAAGAAAATCAGAAACAGATTGAGACAAATCTGGGAAAGATTTCCTACATAATAGGATACTAGAATATGCCATCTATCTGAGAATTTAAAATGCAAATCTTCTTAGATTTTTCCATAGTCCCCCTCAACCTAGTTCATATATGTCTATCATTACCAGCTTGCTTGGTAGATTTCCAAAAGATTTTCTAGGAAGTCCCTTCTTGAGAAATGCCAGCTAATTGTCTATATGTAGGAGCAAATGGCATACATATAATTCCCATTTCTAACTTCTACTTAAAACTTGCCCCCTCTATGAATGTGTACAGTTCGAGCAAGCAAATGGCTACACGAGTTTCGTACGAAAATATTGTAGTGGATTATGAGCAATGCAGTTTTGTTGTCACAATCTTCTCCAAATAATCTGCCATCTATCTAAGAATTTAAAATGCAAATTTTCTACATTTTTCCACAGAGCAGTGACGACTGCAAGCCAAATTAACCCAGCCCCAAAAACAAAACAAAAAAAAAAGAGAAATTGCAACATGGTTGTAAATTTTTTATCGTCAATAATACTATTGGTCAAAATAAGGAAACCTTTCAACATTACTGCATACAGCATCAAATAAACAGAGCCATAGCATTTATGACACTGATTAATTGGTCCATCAATTTATATGGTGGTTGTCAAATAGATAACAATGTTTAATTAGGAATCAAAAATGATACTGATCTTTCTTAAAAAGTTACACATCATTAAAAAAAAAATTAAAAATCTCACTGAAAAATTCTCTCAAAGAAAGTGAAAAAGATCAACATACCAATATCAAGAGGATCATGAGTTTCAGTATCAATTTGAAATTTGACTTCAGCAGAAGCAAGAGTTATGGCCCCTCTGTCAATACGTCTTTGTCTCATTACCTGCCAATGCAGGTGTGAGAACACTTTTCATAATTACATATTTATCAACAGAATTTGTGGGAATACCTTTGCTAAAGCATTCATATTTCGCAAATCTCTAGTTAAAGGATCCATCAACCGACTGCAATATGAAAAAATAAAAATAAAAAACCACGAAAGAAAATTAGCTACTTAAAAATTGTTGAACCACTTGATCTAAACATATAAGCTGCTGGTAATGGTCACATATATATCATTTTTGTCTTCTTGAACAAGGCCTCTCACGTGTAAGCTAATTTTTCACTTTCAAAAACCGACATGTGCACAATTTCATTAAATAGCTGGCGGCAAGACTCAAGCCCAAGACCTTTACCCACTCTAATACAATGTCAAACCACTAGATCTAAAAGCATAAACTGCTAGATAAGACCACGCATATATAATTTAAATATTGTCTTCAACAAAAGAAGCCGTCCAATCAATTTGTCAATTAAACACATGTCAGTAATAAAATAACTAAAAAAGAATATTCCCCCCTGCAGAGCCTCAAATATTAGCTATCAGCAATGCAGTGGAGCATACATTTTTCTTTGTTCATTTGAGACGCATAAACTTCAATGTCAGCAATGTATAATTCTTTTGACAACCATGCATGTTTGTTTAGGAAAAAACTGATTATCATATTTCAAACAAGAGGGAGATAAAAAAAACATGAAAAATAACAGTAGCGTGTAGAAATGGCACAATATAGATCAATTAGAATCAACATGAATATGGAATTTCTTATCAGGTATGTATTATAGTTATTTTAAGGAGGAGGAGGAGTGCTCTTTAAAATGAAGAGCACTACTGGAGATGCTCTTACAAGAGCGTGACAGCTAGCACTTCAAAATATAAAGGACAAGAACTGAAAAGGAAATAACCATTACCAAATTCTCTGCTTAGCACAATGGCAATGGTAAAATAATCTAAGAGGTGCCACAATGTGTTAAGAAAACAAATCTGCATGCACTACCTGTCATCCATTCTTGCCTGAGCCTCAACATACGACAGTGCAGCACTTGATTTAATAATGGTCTTTGTGTATCTTGTAGAAATGATCTCTGCTTCAGGGGTCATTTCCTGAAACATAATCAAATTTAGAAAGATATGGCCATGTTAAGACTTGGTTGGTCTAACCATTTGCAAGAAACAGCACATCAAAAAGTGACTGGTCTGCTCCTAACTTTGTTGGGAACTTATTGTGCAAGCAAGCTGTTGATCAAAGCAGTGGCCTCATGACATATTTATAATTCGCCTCGAGCAAATTATTTAAATTTCACCTTTCCTTGAATCAAATTTGTACGCTTTCACAAACTGAATCAACAATACAGTGGCCTTAACTCTCAAGTCTACACATGTTTCCGGCAACAAACAGAGTCAACAAACATAGAGGCAGTTAATATTCAACATTCCATCATTCATAAATTAAAAATCCTTTTCGTTGGCTTCTTCATGATACATTCTGTTGACAGCTTGACCTCAAAATATAACAACTCTGGCTTTCCTCGCATATGGCTAGGAACAGTAAACTCATAGTTTTTGTAAAGCAATTTTACTGTCTTATGCATTACGTTTATTAGAAAGAAGGTATTATTATTTTAATAATTCATCAAACTACTAAGCCTGACAAAGACAAGAATCTCATCCTTGGAAGCAAAATGCAAAACATGGCACCTCCCTTGCAGGTTGATGAACTTGACACACAACGTGCATGAAAGTTTCATAGCACTTAAAGGAATTCACACACACATATCAGCTCACAGATCCAGCAAACACATAATTCCCTCCAAATGAGAGAACGGAAGATTAGATGCCAAATTGATAATTCTGAGAAAAGCATGTACCCAAATAACAGAAAAGGCTAGTCTCTCCACATCCGCACGCAGTGAACAAATATCTGCAAAGAACAGATATGGCATTTCAAAATAAGCTATCTTAAAGCTTTTATACCCATATATTTCAAAGAATAGAGCTATGCAAAAATTTCAAAGAATAGAGCTATGCAAAAATAGTAACAATAAATTTGACCCAAATTTATAAAATAAAAGATCACCTTCTGTTAAAGGTTTTGGAAGCATGTCAATCCGTCGATCAACAAGGTAAACAGAAGTACCCCTTTGTGCAGCTTCATCATCCAGGGGAGTTCCAGGGTGAACAAAATTAGTGACATCAGCAATATCTGAAACATATCGTTAAGGATTGATGTTGGAAGCCAAAGAGGTATTTCCAGTTACCCCTATAATAGAAAACCATATTCAAAAAGCTTTGAATCCAATCCCGTTATATGTTATTGTCATCTAAAAGCTTAAGATGTGAGAAAGGGCATTTGTCCTAGGGGAGAATTCCATGTATCTGAGTCTTCCACACATTATGTGGTGGCTAGACCTGATCTCCAAAACATTTACATGGTCATTGCCATACTGAATGACAATAAGAAAAGTTTATTCTACAATTATAGGAAATGAAATTTTGTAGTATATAACACTTGTGTTTGATTATTTGATTTCAATTATAATATTAAGCATTTGATTTATAACTTTTGATTGCAAAAGGTTATTTTCTATTTTTTATTAAAAGATTAAACAAAATAGTTGTAAATATTTTCTATTTCTCCTAACAGTAAAAGCATCTGTATATTATCAAAGTCTTAATTCATACACAACTTCAAGGTTGTTCATGTCAATAGTTACCGAAAGGATACGAACTCCCACTTCAAAATTCCCATTTGGAAGAGTTGTACAATGCAATGCATCATCAATGTCCTTGCACCCTGCACCAGCCAGGAAAATAATTGTTTGTCCAAGACATGATAACACAAATGGACCATTGGGCTTATGTGATATGAGAAGTCTAAGGGGCTTCAAAAGTGAACAAAGAGAACAGTGACCTAGATCCAGAAATCGTTTATATTGGACACATACCTGGAGGATCCACACTAAATACACTTAGATGACGCAGATCCTGCCTAACAGGATTAGCTAAGTCTTCAGAAGTCACTGACCATGGTAATGGTGGCAAGCATGCCAAAACTTGAGAGGAGAATGGTCTGGCATCTATATCATTCTCTATCAGCACCACCTACACCATCCATATAAGCATTCATCACATTGATACTAACAAATAGTAACTGATCAAGTACATTACTGGTTTAAGAAAGACAGGCTTGCATATATCATGATGAAGATTCAGAAGAATGGAAACTTAATTCCAGGGTAAAGTGGCTAGAGATGACAAAAAGTATACTTTGATTGAAATGAGCGCGTGTAACTATCACCAACTCTGTTTATGATTTCAAAGACGAGAAAATGGGTAAATCTTATGATGCACCGACATGGATATGTGTGTTCGACAGATGTCGACACGCGATTTTTCAAATAGTTCCGACATGACATGTTGCCAACACGTTAATTAAAATATTTAAAATTCTTCATTTATAATTTTATATAGTATAATAAATTAGTTTTATACTCATTATTATTTATTGTTAAAATCTTTTAAATTTGAGTACCAATTTGTTATTAATAGTAACTTCCGAGTTAAAAATATATATTATTTGTGAAGAAAAAAGAAGAATCACCATGATAAGAGTATTGAAAGTGTGTCAGTATCCGACACGAGTTTAACACGTATCGATTGAAGTGTCTGTGCTACATCATTAGAACTTACCTCAACTTCAGTCTCTCGGTCACCTATTTCTCCTATTGTTCTCACATAATGTCCAGAAGGATATCGAGATAAGCAATCCCATGAATCAACAGAAACAATGATTCTTTTGTCAAGTAGATTTCCAAGCTGTCGAGTTTGAATCCGAATCTTGGGTATTCTCCGATCTTTGGAGACAAATAAAGCATGTACAACACTACCGTCGCCCGCTGGCATACGCATTGGCTCCAAAGATCCGCAATAACTGCAACAAGACAAAGGTAAATAGATCAAATTAAATACAAAATATCACATTACTTCTCATTATAACAGAAGACACAATAAAAGTTATGCAGCAGCAACCACTTTTTTCAATCAAATGAATACTGTCAAATATACTTTGAGCAGTATATCACTTCAAGTTTGGGGTTGGTTGTTCCACTGTTTAAGATGAGGAATAAGAACAACGCACCAAAGCACATTACAGGCAGCCAAAATGATCGGGCTCATAACACACAGCACAATTCTTGAGTAATGACTCGATTGACTATACCTCTTTTTGCCATCCACTAAAAAGATTTCCTTTTCTTTCATACTTCTTGATCCCAAAGAGGTTGTCACAATATATTATTCTACCCATTCTTTTTCTTTCTAGAAATTAGATTTTGATTTCAAAAATTGCCCTTGGATTCTCCCTTTGCATCCACAACATAAGGCTAACATCCCCAGCATGTTAAACCTAGATAAGGCTAGGCATAATTTTAGTGTCCAGCGCGTTTGACACCTTTCCTAGCATGTCCAGACCATGTTGTGTCCAACATGTAAGAGAGACACTTCAAACCACGAGAGAATCTGTAGTTCTTAAAATAAGAGCCATGTTTTATATGAGCAATTGAACATATCACAATTTCCCTCGAGCTGCTGACACTAAATAATGACTAAAGAGCCAGAGAACAGTGACTCAAATGCTTAAAGAACTTAAATAATCCTATTTTCACATCCTATCTGTCACAAACAAATTTACCCAATGGTTCAGGGGTATTAAGAACCCTATAACTGAACAAACCACTAGATTCAATAAAAAAATAACTAGTTGAGAAAAGAATTTCACTTACGAGTGCCAGTTGCGTTTTATAATACCAACAACACGCCCAGAGAGACGAGCTGGCATAGCATTCTCGTGATCAGCAGAACCCTGCACCAGATTTGTGAATCTAGGAGCATCATCAGTGCTGTTTGGAGGTAAATGAACGTCATCTTCCTCCTCATCATCTGCAATACATCAAATAGAATATCAGTAAACCCAACACAGAGCAGCAAACATACAACGTAAAGAGAGAGGGTATGATTACAAAAAAACCTGAATAGAAGAGCAAAGTTTTTTTCCTGAATATCAAACCATAAGAAAGGGTGCCTAAATATATTTGACGTGGCAAGTTTTAAATGGTAAAATAAATCCAATAACATGCCTACCAATTTAATGGACCATTGCAGATATCACCCAGATGACTAAAAATGCAAGATGTGCATGTTAAAATCGCGTCTAACTCTTAGTACTTCATTGAACAAAGTGGTTTTTCTCTTTTTTCTAGTAAAAAACCTAATGGACTTATGATGGAGCATTTTCCGTCTACATAAATGGCCACTGACCTAATATATTACTTTTAGAGAGGGGGAGAGACATAAGACATGAAACTTGTGATATAATTGGTAACAGTTTTGAATTGCTGTGGTTGATTGTACGTGTATCTTGATAACTGTTCGATTGACAGGAAACAAGTCAAAGTGGAAATTCATTTTGATATACGGGGACTGACTTTGCAGTTGTCTATTCTTGGTGTAGACTCTTCTTATTTGTGTGCTAAGTGAAGCATTTTTCTTGTTATGTGAAAAACATAATTGTTACTGATATTAGGCTTCTGTCCCTTGATCCATACTGGTTATGGTTTTGTTTTCAAACGGTTCTTCAGAGTAATGCACATAATTTCATGATTATAACCTCTTTGATTAATTATAGCTGTACTGATGTTTGTAATTCCTTGCTTCAAAAGTTTGAAACCATGCAGTTGTTCATTATAGAAGAATCCATCAAGGTGATTTTTTAATCTGTAATTCCAATTACCTTCAGAATGATAGTATGTTCTATGATTTATTGCAAAACGAATCAACTAGGAATTCATGAAATTGAGGATGTTATAAAAAGGTGAGTGCCATATAGGCCTTATATAATGCTCAAACGTTAAAATTATCTCAAATATTTCCTTCCATCCAACTGTACTTTATCAAGTAAAAAGGGCGTATAAATTAAAATCCATATATGAGTCATAGGTACCCATGCAATGGGAAAACACAAGCATGAACTCGTACAAACCTTCATCAGCTATTACAAGAGACTTCTCCTCTTGCCACTGCTCTCGAGGCAAAAGTTCCACGGCCACTACATCACCATCAAAAGCCCTATTCATGTTCGCACGCCCACATATAATGATTTCCTCACCAATACTTTCACTTCCAACATACGCTTCAAAAGGATTGAAACGATTAACACGCAGTTTCCCTTGGTGGTAAATTCCACGATGCAAACCAGCAGTAATTTCTGACATGGGCTTATGCTGCATGGGAAACAGGTAACAGGCAGCATTTATTAAAATGCACAAGAATATAAAAAATAACCAAAAGCAACAATCAGATATGCATCCAGGGTGCACAATCGTTGCCATATATACCTCAGGATATATTACTTTTCTCTTTGAGGGCCTCAAATCTTCGACATCCTCCATTGCAACATCTTCAGAGGGAGGCTGAACAATCAGGTCGAGCAATGATGGTTGACCAAGTGATTTTACATATGATTCAACTGCAGTAGAATTAAAGTCTATAAGGGCGTGCCTATAGAATATGTAGAAGTAGCAAGGGGGGACAGGGTGGGGGGAGTATTGCAAGCAGAATTAGCAGTTCAGACAGCCAGCAGAAGAGCATAAAAAATGTACGCTTATGTTTTAGAAATAAAATGAACAGTTCAACCCAGCAAACAAAACTGTGTCATAATAATTCCAACAATTATTATCTACCTGTCTCTGCAGATATGCCCTCCTTGGTTGCCTTCCTCTTGTTCTCTCTATCATTTGTAATAAGGAGGACTCGCACAGTACTACCAAGGTGATTCTGATACCATAGGCTTGCCACCCGAATAGCTGAATCGTCAATGTTAGTGTCAAAAGAAAAAAATCCAAAAGTTCTGCTATGAATCTAAAACCAATTACCTGTATTTAATAACAAAACATTCTTTGATATAGTAAACTTCACCTTATAGTACAGTCAAAGGTTCATGTTTGCAGTAAATAAATTTCCTTAATAGTAATAGCGCATGGCTAAAAGTTACAAGACTAAGATTCCCAGAAAAATTATCAATTTTAATCTTTTGGATAGCGAAATGAAACAATTTTGAGACATCAATGTATACCAGCGAATTTGATTTAGAATGAAATTTTCAATGGAGCCTTTATTGCTTATCCATTCTATATGAAATTCCCTCTTTCTACCTATAAATTCTCTCTCACCTCAAAATTTTAAAGTAAATCCCTGTGTAAATGAGCCAAATTACCAATTTTTTTTTAAAGTTTGCAAGCCTACGTAAATCATGGCATTTACACAAGTACTGTTTAAATTTTGCATCTCATTCACATGCATATCACTTGAGCACTTACAAAGGGCTTGGTCTAATTAGGGAGCAGTTTTTTGAACACCAAAAAAGCCCTTTTTTTTTAACTGTCACTAGTAAGTGTCTTGCATTCTTATATCCATTTAACATATGAATCCAATATTAAATCTATGAAGTAAGCAGTCTTCAAGCAAGATATGTCGTACACGTATATTTATTTTCTATTTTCGAACATAAAACTACACTTACATCAATATTACGAATGCATGTTTAGCAGAGTTAAAGCAAGGTTTAGAGTATTGATTGATGAGTTCAAATTTTAGAATTGAATTCTCTGACTGCAATTCTAACGTTTTTCCAAAAACAATCAGCCAAATGACAACTCAAAATGCTCATAGTATGGAAAAAGGAAAAAGAAACAAATAAAAATTGTCATTTTATTGATAATGCAGAGAACATACCTCTATCATTCCTATCATTTGGACTTTCACCAGTTTCAATTTTCACAAATGTATCCCTACAAAAGCAATAAAAAATCAATTGCAGTACCAGTAATAGATCAAATTTTCTTAATAGACAGGGATACAGATATCTAAACTTATTGAAAATACAGGAAGAACAGTTATTTGCAAGAACATAAAGACACCAATTAAAATATGAAACATTTTCAAGTGAGCAGGCATATTACTTATCAAAAAAAAGTGAGCAGGCATATTAACTCAACTTCATACAACATAAATAATGGAGGACAAAAAGGTACCAAAGAAATTTCAGACTCAAATATGCCTCATCGCATAAAATAGATTCTTGTTCCAGTTGGCTCCACAAAGATTGTTTTATATAATCACTCGTGTAACGACCCAGGCCTATGTGCCTAATGGGCTGAGGCTATCCCAGAACGTAAGTTAATGACTTGGACACAGAGGTCTTAGTCGTTACCAAAAAAATCTCTCACGACTTTCTATCACGTCCCCATGATTTTAACACAAGACATCTTTCTTATGAGAGACTTAAATTAAATCCTAGTAAATAAGTTAGACATGGAGGTTGGATCGTTATTAAAATATGCACATTTCATACCAGTATTAAGTTAAATCTCTCATAAAGCGGAACTTTTGGAATCGAATCCTTGGGGCGCGACAAAAAGTCGTAGGGTAAGAGGGCACGCCCAAAATAGACAGTACAAATGATATAACAAATTGGCTCGAGTCGTTACAACCAGGCCCACATTTTTGGTCTTTCGCGCCTTCTAGGCTTACCGTCAACACTAATATTACCACTATTCTCAAGCAAAATTAACAAAATAAAAAGGTAAAGAAAATTAAAGAGAGCAGTTCCACTCGTATTTAAGTTTATGGATAACATGAACAAGAACAAGAAGTTTTCTTCAGGAATTGAACGACGAATACACCGAAAGGAAATTTTGAGACAAGCCATAACCTAGAATCAAATGATCACAACAATCATGAATACACAACATATGTTCATAGAAAAAATTAAGAAAGGAACATACTTGTGGTATTCATTGGAAAACACGAAGAACCTTCGTAGTGGATTGCTGCAAAGGGCTCGAAGTCTATTATATACAACATGATTCTTGTTCTTGACCTCCTCCAACACAATGGATAGCACCACCACGTCCTCTATCGCTGGATTTTCCAACAAATCAATCTAACAAAAATAACACATGTCAAAGTAAAATGCTTTTTACACAAGTAAACATCCAAGTTTCCAAAAATATAATGGCTTTACCTGATGGAGGACAACATTAGTATCAACAATGAGAATAGTGGAGGCATTGGAGCTCAGCCTCGCTGCTGAAACATCGCACACATTGCAAAATGGAGCTCCACAATATATATCATCTCTCAAATAGTGTTCCCTCACCACCTGCCAATCCAATTATCAGCTAAACCCTAATATTTTAAAATCCCAATAGAACTCTAACAAAGTAATAAAAAATTAAGATTAGAGTTTTGCTGAGGACCTTAATTACTTTGCCTTGCTTTGTTTTCCTGACGAATGACTTGCTCTGCAGCATCCTTAAACTTCAATAATTATTATTGGGAGAATTTTGATTGCAAAATTTGAGAGTTATACTCAGTAGTCAATTTTCGCTGATATAATTTAAATTCTCCTTCAAACTTCAAAGCTGTTTACTGGGAGATATATCCCAGAAATCAGATCCGTGCAAGATGTCGGGGGCTACAGTTAAGACTCGTTTATTCGGCCCTTTTTATTGTTTGAGGAAAAGATTGTCCCTCTTCTTCTAAAACCTTTACGAAGGAAAACAACTATTTGAAGAGAATATCATGCATAAGGAAAACAACTATTTGAACAGCATCACCATTTAAATAATGATTGAAGAAAATGCTATACAAAATTATCTTCAGACATCTAGGGACATAATCCATATTCTAGATCAGTGAAAGAGCCCTTAGAATACAATTTAAATATAAATTGTTCATAATTAAATAAAGTAAAATAGTAATAAGCTGCTCTCAGAAGATTTTTTTGAGCTCAGTTCATACGCTTTTTATTTTCACATTTTATATCGTACATAATATATAATTATATAAGACAAAAAGATACCATTTTAGTGGACTAGAACTCAAACGAAAGTGAAGAATCATTCATCAACAGTATATTAACTGCTCGTTTGGTAAAGATTAAAATCCAATTAAAATTGAAAATTTATCAGTTATTGAGTCTCACTCGTCTAATAAAAGTCAACAATAACGACTAGTTTTTCAATTTTAATCCAATTTTAATCTCTACCGAACACGTCTTAAACTTTAAACCAGGATCAAACAATTAAAGTTGTCTGTAAATTTTGTTAGGAGAAAAATGTAATAAAATAACTCACAGATTCAACTTTTCTACAATTGAATTACATTCTTCTAATTTTTGCAGATCGATTACCGTACTTCTTAAATGTGATGTCAGCTTATTCCCACGACTACATGGCATCCTAATCAGATTGAAGACATTGCTTATAAATTTATAACCTACTCAAACTTAAAATCACTGATTCACATCCTTCTCAGATTTTAACACACAGAGCTAAGGTCATCATCCCTTTCCATGCTTGTTCTTCCTCAGCTTCCACTTCTTCTAGTTCTTTCTTCTTTTCAATTTTGCTACAAGTACAACCTATTCATCTTTCACCCACTTCTGCTTGCCATGTAGGCCGTTCAGCTGACTAGAAGACTATCATATGTATTCAATGTCCTGTTGTTTTAAGGTTTCCAGATCTTGTTTTTGAAGGTACGAGATTAAGGCACGAGATTTTTGTGTCTTTCACCCAGGACTTAACATTATTTTTCTCAAAGCACTCCCCTGTAGCTGCTAACAAACCAAAATTCACCAACTCAGGTAAGTAATCTCTCAAATCTACCTTATAATCAAGCCGAGATTTTTGCTTCTGATTACTCATATAACCAGTGAAGATCCCACTAAGATTTTTGGAAGTCGAATTATAACCAATCCAAGCATCATTCTGTTTCCATTCAGTAATGTTATTCCTCCATGTCAAATTAGTAGCAGAAATCAGTTCACATAAACTTGAAGCAGTGGCAATTTCAATTTTCAACAATACCCAAAGTTCAAATCAAACTATGATAATCAAATTTCAACATTTGAGATATAAAGACATGATCATTGAGCAAAACCAGAAACCATAACAAACTAACAATTAACACAGACAACAAGATGCATTCACCGAATCACCAACCAAAACTGCCCAAAAGCCACCCTTTTCACAGCCAAGAAATTAGAAAATCCTACTACTTCAGCTTCACCAGAGGTCCAGAATCGCCACAGAATCCATCAGAGTGGATGGAATAACTCTGTACCTCACTCAAGAATCGAAAACCCAAATCCACCAAGGAAACCACACACGGTTTATGTATACGCAAAATATAGATCAAAGAGAAAAAAACAGCTAGACTTACAGTAGGTCACGGAGGCGAAGCAGCTGGTCTAGGACTTGAAGTCGCCGACACGGAGGTGAAGCAGGAACTGTCGAAGGATGAAGAAGCCGAATCGCCGGCACAGTTTATTAGTCTAAAATTGATGCGGAAACATGCACAAAACAAACCACTAATCAAACAAGGAGATATAAGAACAATTGAATAAATCAAACAAGAGGAACTTCAACGTCACGATGAAATTCCACAATCAATAATATTAAAAGTCAGGCATATTTCAGAGGAAAAAAAAATGTATCCACAAGGACAAGGCTTATTAAACTTACCCTCAGTGGCTGTGCCCGAACATGGCTATTAGACCCTTTGAAACGGAAAACTGAAATTGAAACCCCCGATCGGAAATAGCCTTTTACCAAGGGATAAAGTAAAAACCCTAACTGATTGTAGAACACGGTGACGAAAAATTTTAACGTCGGAGGTTGGCAACTGAACTGACTATATTTATATTTTATAAATTTATAATGGGAAAATTTCAGCTGAGTCCCTGACCTTTCACAAAAGTGCAGTACAACCCTAACCTTTTAAACCTCCACTCTAAGGGCCTTCTTGGAGTTTTATTTAGACCAATTTTGGGTGACGCAGCTTACGATAGGTTGGAAGAATCGGTGCTTACTATTTTTTTGAGCATCGATTTTGGATGGTTCAAAAATCACTCAAAAAAGTGTAGTGTAATTTTGATCGATTTTCTCAACACATCAAATCGATGATTTTTTTTCGTTTCTCAAATTCTTTTTTAATTTTACCCTTTATGTAATAATAATTCTCAACAAGCATATTTTGTTTAATATTAACTTATAAATAAAAATATACTAACTAACAAGATTATTTATAAGCAAAAAAAAAAATTTACTTATAAGTAAAGTATTACTGATAAATAAAAAAATATTTTTGTGTAAGTATATTATTAATAAGATAAAAAATACTTATAAGTAAAAAATTCTCATGTGTGTAAAAATTATTTAAAAGTAGAAAATTAGTTTATAATTATAAAGTTTATTTATAACTAAAAAATATTAACATAGAATTTTAAGTAATTATTTAACTTTTTCTTATGTTATTCTATGTATATATAAGTAAAATACCATACAAGAAACTATAAACTAAAAGTTTCACCAATGAACATGTATGTAATTTTATTTTCTTAAGAAACTTTTAGAATCGGTAAATAATAAACTTCCAAACATGATTAGACTATTTTGAAAATCATTACTAAAATCACTTATAATCGATCCGCTCATAAACGCTCATAAATGATATTTTAAAACATGCTCATAAACGATACAACAGAACTCCCAAGCAGGCCCTAAACGTTTGCAAAAATATGCAGACCAAGAAACTTTGAATGTACTCTATCCAAAAATATGTAAATTAATTTAACAAAATTAGATCATTTCTAAGAAATTCTCTAAATAAAAGAGTTTTTTTATAATCCAGAGAGACAATTTTGACGTTGAGAGTGAATTTGATTATTCAAATTGTTCTCAACCCAACTACAACTACGTCAACAAACTTCAAATTGTAACAATCGAGTCAATTAAAATTAATTTAACAGCAATCAAAACACTACTTCTGAATGCCGCTAGATAAATCAATAAATTTGATGACGTGTTAACTTCAAATTAATGGATTTTGATACCTTCGTCCAAGCATAAAATTTTGAAAAGTGAACTATATTTCATACATTAATTTATGAAGCATTGAATTTTTACACGTGACCTCTATTTCAAACATTAGTTTATGAAAATGTTAAAAGTGATTTTCACGATTTTTCAAATACATTAAACCTAAAAGCCATTTTCAAATTCCATTCAATTATTAGGATAAGAATGAGAAAAATATAGAGGGTGTCTTGCCGGCTACATAGCACAATTCGGACCATTGAGAATCAAAAATCGAACCATTGGTGAATTGTTTATTGGAAATTGTCTGACAACTTTGCAGGAAAAATCAGGCACTCAAACTCCTTTTACCAGTTTTGCCCTTCTCATTTCACTCTTTTTACCAACTTTGAGGAGAGAGAAATGTGGCACTCAAACAACTTTTATGGGGAATAAAATGGTCAATTTCCTTCCATTTTGAAGAAACACGCCTGGACAATTGTAGTCAATGGGCCCCTATGATGTGATGCAAAAATCGATTTTGGTTGGAAGACAATCGCGCCCGGACATGCCCATAATATAGTTAAAATATAGGGGCAATTTATTCGGAACCACCCTACTTAGATCAGAATTGGATGAAATTGTCAATTCGGTTTGGTTCAAAGTTTTAAAATTGAGAACCTAAAGGTTCTCGTCCTACTCCATATTCTAACTACATAATCAAATGTTAACTCGATTTCATTGTTATGTTTTTATAATTTCTCATGTAAATCTTAATTTTATATAAATTCATATGTTTAGAGAATAAATGAGAAGTTTATCATTTAAAATATAACCGTGAAAGAAAAATTACGCAACAATTTACATTTTATAATCTATCTTCGAAGAAAAAACATTGAACAAACACATGACTAGAACCAATATTTCATGGGCAAAAAAACTAGACTAGAATGATTCCATTTTCACAATTTCCATCGAAAATTGTTATAATCCAATTCTCAAGATATTTAGATCAAATCATTCGATACTCAACCTTATTTGAAATAAATTCAAGTCAAGATGGTTTTTGATAAATTGTGACGCTATATATATTATTGTAAAGTGCCATCGTGGAAAAATCCATCACAATAATCTACCTTTCATTTGAGCCAAATGATTGTTTAAATTCCATAAGCAAGATGGGTCACTATTCGAGGTGAACAAACAAGATATCAGAATTTATCTAATACCTCTTGTTATGAATTTGGATCGTAAGATAATGACAATAATGAAATAAATAAGAAGAAAATAAACACAAAAATTTATGTGAAAACTCAATACGGGAAAAAACCACGGGTAGAGGAGGAGAAATCCACTATAATGTAATCAATACTAATTGTGTTTACAAGATCTCAATGCGCTCAATTGAAAGCTAAAGCTCTCAAGTTATTGTATGAATCTTTCTCTGTTATTAA